AATAGATTTAATAATTTCGGAGCCTGTTTGTTGCAAACAAACAAACAATGAAATCAATCAGTTAGCACAGAAGTACATATATGTGATGTTGTCTTAAATATTAAATTTGGCATTAATTTGTAGAAACAACAAACACGATGCTGAGCAAATCACGATCGCAAAATGTAAATATAAATCTTACACCGTTACTTTACAGTTGCAATTCGAATGTTCATATTATACATACACGTGAACAGCTGACGCATTCAACTTTCACTTGCTATAGCGCCGGTCAAGTTCATGGCAAACTGCATCGTAACCGGACATTTATAAGACCTAGTTTACGATGACCATTAGTTTGCATTCGTACTGCGTGAAACCGGTTGGTGAGAAAGTTTGTAAATTATGAATGGAAGATTCAGAAACTATTGCGGATAACCACCATGTTTAAAAACGGATTTATGGATTCTTTAAAATAATAACTAATGAAACAGTGGTTAGCGCGTTCGGTCTACGGAAGTTAAGCAACTTTCCCAAAGGTCGGATATGGGATGGGTGACCGAAAATTAACTATCTCGAGCTCCTCCATGCTTCGGAAGGCACGTTAAGTTATTAATCCTACCCGGATGCATTTCAAATCGTTTAACACCCACCAATTCATACTGGGTCCGCGTAATTCCATCCACTGGGAAGGCATCAATAGGCATTATATAATAGATTTTTGAACCGATGGCGTAGCTTTTGACATTCACGAGTACTTGTAACAGCCTAGACAGCTTTTGCGCTCAGATATCGAAGAGTAAAAATACTGTTTCCGAGATGGGGGCATGAAAATAATGTTGGACGATTCTCAAGTCTATTTGAATAAAGATTATTTTGGCTTTTGACTTTGAGTTTAAATGTTAATCTGTAATAATTTGATGTGCTGCTATTTGTATGTCAATTATTCAGAATAGAAATGACCTATCACTATGTCGTCAATACGTAGACAATCGTTTTTTTTGAGGGTTCAGGTCTCAGATATAAATTTTGTTAATTAATATAGTATATTACAGCTTGATTGAGAGACGCGCATCTGGAATAAATAATTTCTTTCTAGCGCATAAAAAAGAATGAATTTGACCAATGACATGGGCTATGATGGTTTTGAAGGCTGCTGTATTTTATTGCATATGATAATTATTATAATCTGTTTAATAACATGCGATACAAAACATAATACTAGAAAGCAAATTAAGTAAAAAAGTATTTAGGTGGCCATTATAAGTGGCAAAAAAAAAGAACGAGGAGTGGGAAGTCTGTACTAACTACATCATCACTATTATATATCATATACATATTGTACAACAAAGTCGCTTTCTATGTATAGTCGAATTTTTAAAACTGCGCAACAGATTTTGATGCGGTTTTTTCTTCATAGATAGGGTGATTCAAAAGGAAGATTTTTATGTATAATACAAAACCACGTGGGCGAAGCCGCTGGCGGAAAGCTAGTAATGAATAAAGGAAATAAATTATTAATGTCATTGAATATAAGTGATTAATATTGAATATAAGTATTAATAAGGTTCTCTATTTATTTGCATAAAATTTCATGTCATAATTTAACATGGCATACCTTTGTTTAGCCTAATAATTTTAACGCATAATATTATTTGGCATAAGTTTTTAGGCTAATTTTTTTAAGCATACCTACTATTAGCATAATAAATCTTAACCATAATATTCTTACGCATAATTCTTCTTAATCATAATGTTCTTACGCATAAATATGCTTAAGCATATTAATACTAAAGCTTAAGTTTAAAACTACTTTTTCTACATAAAATAAACATGTTGGCGGCTAGGGTTGCCCAAGGGCCACCTACCCAAAAGTTAGGGCAAAAAACATTAGTCTAAACTATATTTATGCCTATTGAAATAGTATGCCCAAACCCAATTATGCCAAATAACTATTATGACAAAAAATAGTATGCGTAACTCGTTATGCCAAAATAAAATAAGACAAAAAAAAATAGTCGAATGAAAGGGATCCCATTAATAATACCTAATTATCAATGAACAAGTAAGGACAGAATTTGACTGAACATAAGTAACAAAACAACCTAAAAGCACTTAAAATGTGCACCTAAAGAGAGAGAAAGTCCATAGGGGTATTTAGATACAGATTAGTGTTAGCTTATGCCACATGTGTACGCGAAGTCCTTTAGAAAAATATAATAGTGATAATTTTGACAGATATTGCTATTAATGTTGACAACGTTTGCAATTCTTTGTTGAAAAGCCCTACAAGTGACAGATTTTATTGATATGATTGACATTTGCGGAAATCGATACGGCTAAGTTTGTTTGATACGTAATGTACGTTTACAATAACAAAGAGATATCTTCGAGAGGACCAGATAGATTCTTAACAATTAGGAGCAAGTTCATTTGGATAAGTAAGTTTTTGCTCAAGAAACTTTTCTTATTTTTCATCTTTTTTAACCTAAACTACTGGAATAAATATTTGAATTCAACTAAGAAATAGTGAGCAACTCAAATCTACACTTCGTCGTCTATTTCTGAGAATATTTCACTTTAGTGAGCAGATGCAAGTATCAATAGCAAATTATGCAAATACCCATCCTAGCCTCGAGGCAAATTGTTGATTCAGCCCTATCACATATTGCAAACGTACACTTCACACATACGAATGTACTGTTACATTTATAGAATTTCTACTATTTTATAAAACTATACCTAACACTCGGCTATCGCTCTACCTACATCTTGTCGCTACAACGATCAAGCACAAGAACACCATATCTCCCAAAAATTATCCCACGAAAATGATTTTGTTTCAGTAGAATACAATTGGTTGTACTTTACATATTATGGTTATGAAAACAAGGCTTACTATTAATTTTAATGGCAGCTTACCATTGAAATTTATAGATCTATTCTGCGCAAACGAAGATTCACCATGTGCCATATTAGAACTTATTGTACCTCAGCATATTTTTATAATTTCGACGAATCTCGTGCTGTGTTCAATTCTGATAGATTTTGATGCGGTTTTTTCTTCATAGATAGGGTGATTCAAAACGAAGATTTTTATGTATAATACAAAACCACGTGGGCGAAGCCGCTGGCGGAAAGCTAGTAATGAATAAAGGAAATAAATTATTAATGTCATTGAATATAAGTGATTAATATTGAATATAAGTATTAATAAGGTTCTCTATTTATTTGCATAAAATTTCATGTCATAATTTAACATGGCATACCTTTGTTTAGCCTAATAATTTTAACGCATAATATTATTTGGCATAAGTTTTTAGGCTAATTTTTTTAAGCATACCTACTATTAGCATAATAAATCTTAACCATAATATTCTTACGCATAATTCTTCTTAATCATAATGTTCTTACGCATAAATATGCTTAAGCATATTAATACTAAAGCTTAAGTTTAAAACTACTTTTTCTACATAAAATAAACATGTTGGCGGCTAGGGTTGCCCAAGGGCCACCTACCCAAAAGTTAGGGCAAAAAACATTAGTCTAAACTATATTTATGCCTATTGAAATAGTATGCCCAAACCCAATTATGCCAAATAACTATTATGACAAAAAATAGTATGCGTAACTCGTTATGCCAAAATAAAATAAGACAAAAAAAATTCAGCCCTATCACATATTGCAAACGTACACTTCACACATACGAATGTACTGTTACATTTATAGAATTTCTACTATTTTATAAAACTATACCTAACACTCGGCTATCGCTCTACCTACATCTTGTCGCTACAACGATCAAGCACAAGAACACCATATCTCCCAAAAATTATCCCACGAAAATGATTTTGTTTCAGTAGAATACAATTGGTTGTACTTTACATATTATGGTTATGAAAACAAGGCTTACTATTAATTTTAATGGCAGCTTACCATTGAAATTTATAGATCTATTCTGCGCAAACGAAGATTCACCATGTGCCATATTAGAACTTATTGTACCTCAGCATATTTTTATAATTTCGACGAATCTCGTGCTGTGTTCAATTCTGATAGCTCAACGCTAATTAAATATGTTCTATGAAATCTATTTTATGGTACTTTCATTCTCATACTTTAATATAAATTGTTCTTTATATTGCTTAGATAATAAAATTACAATACTTGTATTATAGAGATTATTGGTAAATATATTTATTCTTATTCACCAGCTCTAAGTACTCTTAGATCGGACTCGGACCTTTCCTTTTATTTATTTTTTGTTTTGGGTGGATTGCCTGAACATTAGCGTAAAATATCAAAGTGAAAAATTCGTCAGTTGTGGGTGCCTTGTGCCTTGTGGGAGCCTGGGTAGCTCAGTGGTTAGAGCAGTCGCCCCGATTGCGAAATGTCGTGGGTTCGGGTCTCATCTCAGAGTACCTGAGGATGTTTAAGCATTTCTCATTAGAAATATTTATCAGTATAGCATTATGAATGCAAAACTGAACAAATATAATAAATAAATTTTTCTATTTGGGTAAAACAGTAGTAAGCTTTCTTATTCCAGACTTCATTTTACCGTGACTTTAGCCGCGTATATTAAAGCTTATAGCATCCGCGTATGTCGGTAGCTAAGTGAAATTAATATTCATGATCGGATCAGTATTTTCGATGGTTACCCCCAACTACATACTCTAGGTGCGTTATTTTACTGATTTAACCTAAACAATATAATCTCATCTCATAATTCGCATAGTTTTTGCGTGCATTACATATTTCAAAAAGCCAATAATGTCAATAAAGGCGAAAAAACATGTTCACCGTGACGACGTTTTAATACAAATAGGTATGCAGTTGTTACAAGCCATAAAAAAAAAAGTATTATAATATCTATGGAATTATACCAGCAAATGTGTTTGAACCAAACTATCAACTGATTAAGGTTTAAAATGAAATTTCTGCTGTCATCTGTACAGGCTTCTGTCAGAAGACAATAATGCCTTTTAAAATTTTATATAATTCTGTTTTTATTGTTGCAGTGGTTACCGGATCCACCGATGGCATTGGCAAGGAATATGCCAGACAGGTAAAAAATAGAGACCATTATTAAAATAACAGATAAGAGGCAATCCATAAATTACGTCACACGTTAGGAGGGGAGGGGTCAACGAACTGTGACATTAGAACAATATTTAATTTAACAAGAAGGGGGGAGGTTTAAAAATCATGAATTTTGTGTGACGTAATTTAAGGACGGCTCCGAAATTAGAATTATTCTGAGGAGCGATTTTTATGATATTCTCTTTTATGACATACTAAAATCGATGTATTTTCCATCACCTGCCACAGTTTAAACCTTCCCTGACCTACGACAAACATTTCAAAACTAAAATCAGCTAAATCGGCCCCGTGGTTTTCGAGTTTTAGCGAAACAAACGAACAGCAATTGACTTATTAATATGTATAAAAATAAGATATTAAAATGAAATGACGAATATATCATATTATTCCGAAGTCATACAAAGCTTAATATATCCTAAGAATATTGACAACTTCCAGTTTTTATTATTGTAACGTCTATGGACATTACTATAGGTAGGTTTACTCTCCGGACGATTTATAATCAATACTGGCGGATAATTTAGGGGTATGAAATTGCAGATTTGTCCTGAAAATCCAAATCGTTTAATTTTTAACAAATATATTTAATCAAAATAGTTTACCATTATTATCTATATATTGCTGTCATCTAATAGGAAGGTCATTTATGCCTTTGCGATTGATCTCTGAGGATTTAGACTGCACAAACTGTGTGAAAGCACTTTGTACTGTACTGGGAAGAAAACTTCTTGTCACGGAGATAATTGTCCAAATCACGAAAAAAATGGTAGTCCGTTTGAGCAAGGTCTGGCGAATACGGAGGAAGATGAATGTTTTCTAACTGCAATTCCTGAAGGGTCAAAACGGTTTCTCGTGCTGTTTGAGGTCTCGCGTTGTCATGGAGCAATAATGGTGAATATCGATTCATGAGTCAGGGCTATTTTATTGCTAGTTTTGCCAATATTGTTCAGAGTTCGGCACAATAGACATCTGCCGTTATTGCTTGACTAGATCGGAGAAAACTATAGTGAATAACACCATGCTGAGACCACCAAACAGTTACCATTACCTTTTTATTGATAAGTTTTCTTTAGGAGACTGTTGTGGCGTTTGACCTGGGGTCAGCCAATGCATTTTTCTTTTACGGTTATCATTAAGAATCCATTTTTCATCACATGTCATAATTCGGTCCAATATTCCTTCATTTCTGTACCGATTCAACAAGTACACAAGTTTCAATACGCGTTTCTTTCTGCAGATCAGTCAAATCATGAGGTACACATTCTTCGTATTTTTTTGTTTTATTGGTTTGACGCAAATGAGTCAATATTGTCAATAATATGCCGCTAATTCCTGGGTAGTTTGACTAGGATCGGCTTCCACCATCTCTCTTAATTCATCGTTATTCACCGTTGTGGGCGGTATTCCTCGTGGCTCGTTCAAGTTCAAGTAGAAGTTTCCATCACGAAAGCTTTTAAAATCAAAATTCATTAGCAGTCCCCTCACAAACGCAACATTGATATTGAGGGCTGTTTCTGCAGCGTTACTTCCGCGTCGGAACTCGTATTCAAAAATTACTCGAATTTTCGCAGTATCCATCTTTCTTGTCTAAGTTGAATAACAAAAACAATTGAAAGTCGATATTCAAATGTTTCACATTTTTTAAAAGAAAAACATCATAGAGACCATGTGAAAAAAGTTTCTTTCGAAAACCTCAAACCATGAAGATTCTATATCAATTTAAGGAACCTATTACAATAAAATGGCATTTTCATACTTTAACCCCTAATATTTTGAATAATTACTTTTTATTCGAATTCACGTGTTCTTGTTTTGCTGGTCTTCTTTCTTATCGAGACCGGCATAGAGTCAGTTTCTTAGAATTTAGTGAGCTACTGCTGATCCCACCATTAAGGAAATGGGAGTGTCTGTTTAAGTAACAGATGCAATTTAAGTTATCGAAATATGATACTTTTAGACACCATTATATAAATCCATTATAAACACCATTATTAAGAACTAATTTGAAAAACTTTTAGGAACTCATGTGAGGATCGTTGCTCTGTTCTTGATAAAAGACCTTTGGCAATGTAGGACTTCTATTTATAATCCGAATGTATATAAATTTTCTAAAATGCTATTACGATCCAATTCAACGGTATTGGAATATAAGAACCAGTAGTGATGCTGTCATGGGCTAATCGTTGATTGGGCCGATCGAGATCTGCCCTTGCATATCACGATATGCTGCCATTTCTCGATTGAGCTATCCATCATACGCCATATAGTTAAATGCTTAACGTTTGACGATTTGCCCGACTATACTCAAGCCAATCGATTTTGTTATGTAAGAAGAGATAGGCAACAAACCTGGTTTTCTCCTACAAGTAAAATGACTATTGATGTCTTATATTTTCACGCGATGAAACAACTTTAAACCGTTTCATCGCGTTTGTATTTCCTTTTGTGACGTTTAACACCTTTAACAGTTTCCGTGTTCACATAAAACTAAGGTGTTGATTGTCTTTTTAATTAAGTTTAAGTTGTTCCAAGTATTAATAATAATTTATTATTATTTAAACAATAAAACTCAGGCAAATCGACAAATACGTTACTCTCGTCGATCTGCCAACTTTTATACCGGACTGATCGTGATTTTCCTGGCCAAATCAAGAAATTTTGGCATCGCACCCTCGGTGCGACACTGTCACTTTTGCAAAAAATTCAACAATTAGTTAAATATGTAATAATTGTCCTAAAGCCCCCTTTACTTCGTGCGATAATGTTACTTTTGTAGATTAATCATACAGAACTATGTTCCGTATGATTCATCTCATCTGTATCTTCTAAAGTCATTGTTTTGTGAGGTGGCAGAGTTTAAAACTCTTCTCCTGAAAAACTAAATTTTTGCATAAGTGACAGTGTCGCACCGGGAGTGCGATATCGTGATATGCCCGGGCAGATCTATTTATTACATTAATAGTATATAATTAGAACATAAAACTAAACAAATCAATCAGGCATTGTAGAATGAACTTATTTCTTTCATTATTTAGTGGTTACACTTGAGACACCGATTTCGAGATGAATTTAAATTTAAAATGTATTTTTCACGTTTTTCTGGTTACAAATAAATTTATTTACAAATATCAAATTTAAAACCTGTTCCTAACTACTAGTTTACTACTTGACGCACGATGTGCGCATTATGACGTCATATGCGTCAAGATAACTGTTTACGATCCTCATAATAATCCAAAGTTAAATGTAGGTTTTGATTTTTTTTTATATTTTATGGTAACGTTTACATTTATTATATTAAATTATTTTAAAAACACATTTGACTTATTTATTTACCTCTGGCTACCGTAATTTACCACCAGTTTCAAATTTGGGGGTCTTGTCTGAGAAGAACGGGCGAAATAAACTCCGACAAGACAATTAAATTGCTCCCTTTTATTTAATATTTACAGAATTAACTAACTTTATCTTCTGTTTTTGCAATATGCGGTCTGAATTAAGATTTAAAATTTACTAATTACTGGACCCCAAGCCGGTGGTATATGCCAACCTTCATATCTATTAAAATTAAGATATTCTTTACTTTCAATAGCCTCGCGTATCATTCTAGGGATTAGTGTTTGTTCAGTCGCAAGTATTTTTGGGTTGTCAAATCTTATGTAATGCTAGGGTCCTCCTAACGCATGTTCACACACTGCAGATTTATTTTCGCGCCTATGCTTAACGTCAGCTACATGTTCACAAACGCGCTTTCCTATTCTCCTGTCTGTCGCCCGATTTATACACCCACAGTCACATTATAGTTTTGATACAGCTGCAACTTGAAAGGGGATATTACACTAAACAGGTCTTAAGAATTGGTTAATCTTTTTCGGCGGCTTAAAGTAAGTATTAATAGAAGCTCGCTTCAAAATCCTTCCAAACTTGTCTGTATACCTTGTACGATACCTTTTATGTATAACTGGTATAATCAATTTTCAATTCATCAACAAACATCTATTAAAATACAAGTCAGCAATTACAATACCTAATGTCAATACAGATTGTTGATTTTGCAAAGAAAATAAATAAAAGAATTGCTAAAATGTAAATTATTTCTTAAACCAACCTCTTACATTTCACAATTTTAACACGATCGGAATTCATGGCGTTGCCGATTCTTATGAATAAAATGTGGAACTGTAATATTTGTATGACACTCACGTACGTGGGTGGTGAAATGAAGTGATTTTCCAAGTTTGTACACACTGTATACACGTCTATGTATTTGAATTCGATATTTTACAAGCTTAGTGTATGGAATGCGTATCACAGAAAACACATTAATATTTGTTTGCTATACAGAGCAGTTTTATTCTAAATCGATGCTTAAAGAAATCTCTTTATCATGTAATACACAAAATAGTTTGAAAAAAAAATCCTCTCCTAATGAAAAACGCTTAAAATTCCACTTTGTACCTGGCACTCTGAAATGGGAGTCGAACTCATGACCCTTCGTAATCCGAGCGACAGCTCTAACCACTAAGCTACCTAGTGATAGGTAGTAGCGAAAAGTAACAAATACTTGAAATATTCGTCAGTCCTGTTTAGCTCAATGGTTAGAGCAGTCGCCCGAATTGCGAAAGGTCATGGGTTCAAGTCCCATCTCAGAATCAAAGTGGAGAAAGTGAAATTTTTAAGCGTTTTTCATTAAGATTATTTCTCAGTGTAGCATTGTGATTGCAAAATTGATAAAATATAATAATAATATCCTTTGTTAAATATTATCATTAATTAATGATAACTCTTAGCTGGCAACGTTCATGAAAAGGCACGGTCGTGAAAATTATGATTAGGTACATCATGCACGGGTAACGTAGGCTGCAATTAAAGCGGTCGCAGTCGCGGGAAAACAGCTAGAATTATAGTTTGATATAGATAACAAGCAGGAATTAATAAACTATTTGATATTAGTAATGTGTGTTACTAGTCTATCTATTTTTAATCTACTAAGCTTTTTATACATATATAGGTTCGTGTCACTAGCTAGCTAATAAAATTCACTGCTCTGACTCGCTACGAAAGGAATTTAATTTCTTTCAATTCCCCATCTCCAACAAATTAGTCCAAAAGACACTCACAATAAACTTTGTCGGTATATTTTATACTAGCTATTTTCACGCGTCTTCGCCCGCGTAAATTATAGCCTGTGTTGTTATGATGTGTTTTCCGTAGGTGAAAGAAAAATTAAAATCGGTACGGTGGTTCCGGACTCTATTCAATACAAACAAATAAATCTTTCCTCTTTATGATACTATCTGATACCCGAACATCGAGTAGCGTCTTCGTGGCATGTGGCATGAGTAATTTCATCCCCTGTTCAACCCTTTCGACCCCATTTTTCACGATAAAGGGTCTCTTTCTCAACCAAAGTTGGTCCTGGCTGTGTCTTAAATACAACATATTAGGCCCGCGTATGGGCTTTAATCCATTATCCCTATTTGATTTTATTCAATTATATCCACAGGGAAGGAATAAAATCATTCTTCTATATATTATTCGTATAGTGCTCAAAATTTTTGCCGAAGGAATCTGTTAGTATAATCAAAGTATTATATATATCTTATAAATATTAAATGGCCATAATTGTATATTCGTTGGTCATACAGATAACAAACATCTATCCCAAATCCTCAGTCGCTACTGTTAATAAATATATATTTCCTATGACTCGCCTAGTAAAATAAGGAATGTTATAATCAGAGGTCGGAATTAGGTAGAGTTATTTATGTACTTGCATCGAAATGTTGATATTAATGTGGACCTTCCCGGGATTTCTTTATTTCTTCTTTCTTTCTTTCATTGATGTAACTTTGGCAACGTCGTGTGTGCAGTAGTTTAAATTGTGTAAAAGTAAATAACTTTTTATTTAAAAATCACGGAATTTTTTCTGCTCTTTAAAATTAATCTCGGGATTTGAGGCATATCCACTTTATTCTTTCGCTGTATGAAATCAGTGTAAGTACATGAATAACTCTACCTAATTCCGACCACTGGTTATAATTGACCAGTGAAAGACACACTGTATTAAAACACTGTATAGATGTATGTGTTTTCTACTTGTAATTTATTTATGTACTCTATTTAAAGCTAGACGTAATTATGAACTGTTAACCAATAAATAGTGCATTAAACAGTAGATAAAGAAAATATTATCCACTAACTTTCGCCAGCGGCTTCGCTCGCGTAGTCCCTACGGAAATGTTTAGTGGGATAAAAAGTCCTATTATCTAAGTCAGCTAATACCCTATCTGTATACCAAATTTCATCAAAATCCATTCAGTACTTTCGGCGTGATTGACGGACAAACATCCAAACAAAGAAACTTTCACATTTATAATATTAATAGGATATCTATATATATATATATATATATATATATATATATATATATTTATTTTCACGTTTATTATAGCCACATTATAAGATAATGGAAGAGTTATTTCCACAGTACATTTCACTTAAGGTGACTTGTGAATTCACTTCACTTCGCCACTTCGTAACATGGAGGAGTGATGTGAATATCAATATACTCGTATCTCTGAAAATGTGCAATGCAACGTTGGTTTAGTGACCATACTATATGACTGAAGCTAAAAATATTCGTTTAAAATGAAGGACATTGAAATAAATCGAATAAAGATTATTTGCGTATTTCTCTATTCTTCTTCGTTTATTTTTTTTCTTACAATAACTAAATTTATTTAAGTAACTTTTTGATTTATTAATCTTTGACCTAGGTAGTTAAATAATTCATATAATTGAAAAAATGTGCGCACGGTCGTGGGAGGTCATTAAAAGGCCACTTGACAGATAAGGGTTCTCCGTGTAGCTTAAGTCATTATCTAAAGAGGTAACTTTGGAAATACTGATCTGATATGTAAATTTTTTCACTTACGGGCAATTGCATCATACGTATTGACATAGGCTTTAATATATGCAGGTAAAATCGCGGCATAACAGTTACCAATAAAGTTTTGTTTGTTTCAGCTGGCAGCCAAAGGATGTGATATAATACTAGTCAGTCGTACAATGGACAAACTCAAAGCGGTAGCAGAGGAAATAGGTAAGTCAAAACGTAATATATATTTTATCAGCCTGTTAAAGCTCCCATTGCTATGTCACAAGTGTTTTCTCTGATATCAAATCTATTATGGAGAATGGACCATGACTGACGTGACCATTTTTTTTTTGGATCAAAACGGGACATAATTTTTTTACCAATACAGATGGGGTGGGCGTATTAATTTGAAATCAGATGGTATACTCTGTTAATCTGTAAAAAAAACCTCGTCTTATTTTAAAACTCTATTACGACTCCAAAGAACAATTATGATGAACCAAGGGTAATATCTGACATTTCCTCTGATGCACATATAATCTTTACTGACAGCATAATGCTACAAATATCCCCAAACCAAAGTAACTGGAAATTAATTGAACGATTTTCGCATAAATAAATAGATATTAAGCTAATGCAGCCTCGTAGAATGCCCATCTTCCTCACTTCGTAGGCAACTAACAGTAATCGTCCGACACAAGGTTCACACCATTTCGAGAACCTGACGGAGTTCTTCTTATGTTGCCATCTTCTTACGAAAGTTGGTGATCATTAAAACCACAAACATCCTTGAATCTTCTGCTCGGAATATTAATGTGTTTGATGTCTTTAATAGATTGTTACAATTATATTTCTTATAACTAGCCGTTTTCTCGCGACTTCCCCCGCGTTAACTGTAGCTTTATAGCACTAACTTATTTTTAACTAATACATATTAATTTATCCACAGAAAAAGAGTTCAAAGTGCAAACGAAGGTCGTGCAAGCAGACTTCAGCCGCGACGACATTTATGATGGTATAGCTGAGGCCATCTCTGGACTAGAGATTGGCACACTAGTTAATAATGTTGGGATATCCTATACGTATCCAGAATATTTCCTGGAGATTCCCGAATGGTGAGTTTTATACAGTTGTCCAACAATGTTGAATGAAAAAAATCGTCAAGTGCGACACGGACTTGCGCATGTGGTGTTCCAAACCATGATTTATAAAAAAATCACATTTCTCGTATGGTATTATGTTAAAGGTCACAGATTACTGATAAGTCCCGGAGTCTTACACCCGTATAGTCAATAGTTGAGTAAGAGTAATTACTTAAGCAAATATTTAAAAAAAGGATTTTAATTAAGTACACTGTGAATAGTAAGATTAGCTATTAATAGTTCTTATTTCATTCTAATTCTCGTTAATTGGTTAAAAATATCTGCTTTAGTTATGCCATTTTCTCAAGAAGCTAATTACTTTTCTCGACTATAGATGCGAATGTTAGTGATAGGGTTTTTATCCTTTGAATATGGAATAATAAAAAGGGGAGAATATACATATTAGATATATTATTCTTTTGGTTCATGTTACAAGCGGAGCATTTTCAGCTTTACAGATGTAATTACAGTATGGTCATCCTACTTGAAGTATTGGGGTTGGATATTACTGGCTGATATGTGAAACTTCCCTCTTTACTTACAATCGATACCCACACTTTTCCCGATACACAACACTCACTGTATTTAACTATTTCACAATAACTGAAGTGTAATTAAATACTTATTTTCATTTCATTTCCAACTCATCCCCATTTTGTTCTGAATCCAATGCGTATTATTAGGATGCATAAAATTGTTAAGTTTGATGTAATATTGAATAACTTAACAAATAAATGAAGAAAGCTTACTGTCCCATAAACTCGAAGCGCCAGCTCTCATAGCCTTATGAAATTTACGAGTTGCCTTAAATCGCGAACTCTAAGTGAATTCAAGAGCGTTCCGTTTCATAGGAATCGGAACTGGTTATACATACATAATTTACTATCAAACTTTCAACTAGTTGGACGTTGGAAATTCAAATGAATACAATTGTCATGAAATTTCAAATCAGTTTTATAACATTTTCCATTTCAAATATATTGCTATTTCGCTCAACTTCGCTCACGTAAATCATAGCCTATGTCAACCGCGAATAATGAAGGTTCCAGTAAATGAAAGACTTTAAAATCGGTCCAGCAGTTTCGGAGCTTATTGGATACAAACAAAGTGGTATTCTTATTAAGTTTATTTTCTAGCATAAAGGTTTATTATTACAATTGGTGTATTTTTTCGGTATCTTCATCGTCGCCATAATTGACCCAATTTAATCAAACTATTATGATGAGCTCGATGGTGCAGTGAAGTGTAGATAGTTCGTTCGGTCTACGGTGCGGTAAGTTAAACAACTTTTTCAAGTGCTAGTGACTTAAAATGTATTATCTCGAGCTCTTCTGTGTCTTCCAAATGCACTTAATGCTGTTCGTCCCGGCCGTATCTACAATTTTTAACACCGACCAATTCGCACTGCACCCGCATGGTGGGTCATAAGAGACTCATGCCCATATTAGATTCTATAGGGAAGGAAATTAAATGTATTGTACAAATAGGCTGATGATTATACAAAATATTAATAAACAATCAATACCTTTTTAAAAGATCACTTCAACACATTTTGTAGTTTTTGGGTTACCGGATTCACACATAAATGAGGATAAATTAAGGATTTGTAAGAGATTATTGAAATTGCAATTAACATGACGAAACATTTGACGTCAATTATGACGTGTCTTAAATTATTGATTGACGGAAGAGACGAATGTTTTCAACGTCCGGAGGGCGTATCAATCAGTGTTCTATCAAATAGAACTCATAGAAAATTGATTGATTTGAACAGACATAATGTTTATAAACAATTTATTTGGGCCTCGATTATGCTGGCTCATAGGTAATCCCTGCCCCACGAAATACTCTGATTACGTGACAATAATTTGACATATTAGTGTCAAATAAACATATTAATGCAACCAATAGAGTTACCAATAATTTGCCACGCCCGGTGGCAAGGGTTGCCAACGTTTCATCAGCGATTTTTCAATATTAACTTTATATTTTATTTACGGTTCACTTTGGTTCACGTTGGCTTAGTTATACACACATTCATAATTTGAATATAGTCTCAACTACTTGAATTTTGCCATTGTAGGTACTATCTACCTAAATTTCAATTTATAAGTGCAATGTCTTCTCCATAAATCAATAGTTTTAGATATTTACTAGTGGCCGCCAGCGACTTCGCCCGCGTTTTCCGTTATTTCTTCGCTCCTAATAGTTGCAGCGTGATGTAATATAGCCTAAAGCCTTCCTCGATAAATGGTCTATTCAACAAGAAAAGAATTTTTCAATTCGAACCAGTAGTTCCTGAGATTAGCGCGTTCAAACAAACAAACAAACTCTTCAGCTTTATAATATTAGTATAGATTATATTTTGATCTGGTAACAAGAACTGGGTCATAAAGTTGGAGCGTTATTTACTTTCCGTAATTACGCTATATTAGCAGAATTGCCTGCTCCTCTTTTATTTCCAATTGCTCTTCTACTTGTAATTAACTTTAGAATCCATACAAGATATTTTAGGTGAGAATTTTGATGATAAGTACCTTAATTGGAGCGTTCGGATTACGATTGAGGAGATTAAGTAGTAAGGTCCCCATAGAGGATGCTGCTTGAAGTGAAAAGCTAAACCTCGGTGAAGATTTTGCCATATATTAAACCATTAGGTATTTAATATCCAAACATGGCTATTGTGATGAACATATAGCTTTGAGGCAATATCGAAAGATTCAAAGACAAGATAACAATATAGAGGATATTCGAATTCGACAAACGTCAGAAATATTTTCAATAATATTGAAATGCACTTTAATACCGTACTGGATGCCAGGTGGGTTTTGTTATGCGGTTAATTTCTACGTTCAATTTCGAAAGACAGGATTTTAGGAATCCGCATGTAAAAATTAAGAGTAAAATGTAATTTTAAAAATTAAGTTGAATATAAAACCCGGCTGCTGCAAAATAATGTAAGTAGTACTCACGTATGAGCCAATACAGACATAGGTAATATAAGTTAATTCAAAACAATGATCGTTATAAACTCAGCAATATATATGTCAGTAGCTTTCCGCCCGCGCCTTTGCCCTCGTGGCAGTTTTATTTTGTGATATAAACTGTCCTGTAGATATCTGTGTACAAAATTGGTTTAGTAGTAAAAAGTAACATACATACATGCACGCAGGCAGGCAGGCTGAGTAAAATAGACTTTTACCGCTCTAACTAGTAGCATGGCGTTTAAAGTTCAAATTTACCGCAATAATTATTTTCAAGACGAAAACGAACAAATGTTGAAAATTATTTACATAGACTTTATTATAAAGCAATAATAATCGTAAATATTTGAAAGCTACTTTATTTAATACCATGTAGTGATGATAATTTACTCCTGTGTAAACAACTCAAATAGTTTAATAATTAATTTGAATATCGATTCATACAACAGGGGTTACTACGGTAACGTTTTAATTCCCTATACAAACGTCCACTCCCATTTTCAGTATTTTATTTGCTATTTTTCTGGATAAAATAAAGCCTATGTTCACCATATATGATGTAGTTTCTCTTCTATGAGCTTCCCGTACTTAGGTGAAAGAATTTTTTTTAATCAGTAGTTTCGGAGCCATTTCTATGCAATCAAACAAGCATACACTCAAACAATTCCACTTTAAAAAACGGTCAGTTGCACAAACGTCCATTAAAGTTTAATGACGACTTTAAGCCCTAATGAATGTTCCAAATTTGAATATTTGTATGGGTAATGTGGCGTTAAACTGACGAGATTTTTAATGAACGTTTGTGCTACGCAAACGTCCATTAAATTTTAATGACGACTTTAAGCTCTAATGTATGTTCCAAATTTGAATATTTGTATGGGTAATGTGGCGTTCAACTAACGAGATTTTTAATGAACGTTTGTGCAACTAGCTGAAAGTTAATATAAATGATAATGGAATATCTGACATTGGTTTGCTTATTTATACACTAGGTATTATTTCATGCACCTACTCACCGTCTTCGTATCGACATAAACATCAGCCCTACGATTCTCTAAAAATCCAAACACGAATTCGAATTCACTTCAAAAAGTGGCATCCGGTAAATTTTGAATGAGGAAGTATTTAAAAAAATACATGAGAAATCATCCCGAAATCAAACTAGATATCGCTTGTGTTCTTGATTTCTCTATGACATCTTTTCCGGTTTTCTTTCAAGATAGAAAAGTAAATTTATTTTCAAAACTCAATAAACAACTCATATTCTATTTGTACTTTTTCGTATTTGTATTAATATCTAAGTTTCGAACTTTTCAAATTTCAGTTTTTTATTATGTTAGTTTTAACTAACATAATAAAAAACTGAAATTTGAAAATTACTTTCTTACTAGGAACGGAAATTACTGTCTTTGGCCCATTCGTTTCCTATAAAAATCAACTTTTGCTAGAGTTGCCATCTAGAGGCAACTCTAGCAAAAGTTGATTAAGCGTTGAGTAGAGCGAAGGTGCTTTCTTAGTGCTTTCATTTTTTTTTATATTTCCTTATTGTTAATAACGTTTTATGGCATAAGTAAAGTGAGTTTCGAAATGACACAAGAATATTAAATCTAAGACACGTATGATAGATTAATTTTGTTTTTTTTTAATTATTTTTAGTCAAAAAATGGAATCAATAGAATTTCTTCACTAAATGACGTGAATTCCGTCACATGAGTGAATTCGAATTTAAAGGTCGGATTCTTACTGAATCGCCCTGCTGTAGACGCTCGCTTCGATCGCATATGTCTGTTACGCCGTATTAACCGCAGACGTCCGATATTGAAACTGGATGCAGTCGCTACCAAATTTATCACATGACTGCTATATAGAGTTTTGAAACATACGTTTTATTCAATCTTTTCATATTCGTTGACAGTATGCAGGCCAAATAACAATTAAAATTTAATATCTTTATTTATGGTTTCCATTTTGATAATATTGATGCGAAAAGAAAGAAGAGTAAAGGACAGTTGCACAAACGTCCGTTAAGGTTTAATAACGCCTTTAAGCTCTAATGAATGTCAAATTTGTATGGCTAATGTCGCTTTAAACTAATAACAATTTTAATGGACGTTTGTGCAACATACCGTAAGTTGTTTAAAAATAATAATATATACTCACACTCGTATGTATAGTAATTACTTGAATAAAAGTAATGACTCTCAAAACTTAGAATACCATTGACTATTGACAGTTTTCACTTTATTCAAATGCTCGTCTATATTCAAAAATATTTTCTAAAGTAGTTAATTCAACTCGACTATATAGGTATAAGCTATATGAGTAGCTCGGTGGCGTAGTGGATAAGTGCCGCGGCCCGCGATCGTAGTCGTTAAGCAACTTTCGCAAGGGTCGGTCATGGGATGGGTGACCAAAAAATTATTATCTCGAGCTACTCCGTGCTTCGGAAGGCACGTTAAGCCGTTGGTCCCGGCTGCATTTGCAGTCGTTAATACCCTCCAATCCGCATTGGGCCAGCGTGGAGGGTCATGGCCCATCCTCCTTAACCATCCATAAGGAAGGCCTGAGCCCCTGCAGTGGGGACGTAAAAGGGCTGGTGGTGGATATAGGTATAAGGGTGATTGTATAATTGACGGGATCGTGTATCTGTATCGTGTACGAGTATAATAAGATTGTAATACAAATAACTAGATGGCGTAGTGTGTAGACCCTTTGTTATATAGAGCAAAATAGAATAAGTGCCAATGCCTATAAATTTCCTGACCCATTTCGAGGCGTTATTAAATGGACGTACTCGGAGGAAACGAAAAGTTAATTGAAAATAATTTATTAAACGAGTTGCCCGATTTGAAGTCTCCAGGAAATGAGATGTCGCGAAATTAATTCAGGAATATTATCACAATTTCCATTGTTTCATGACAAAGTAAAGTTAGATATATTAAGAGTAAGTAATATACTACATCTAATATTCATGTGTTTATATATATTCATGTGTATATATATATATTTGTGTATTTACATATATCGAGTGCTATATATGTATGTATATATTTTCTACTTAATTGTATAAGTGTATTGGTATACACCTACCTTTACATTTGGTCTACACATCACCTTAAGGTTGACCGGCAGAGAATTTCTAAGACATAAAGTCCGTTTTTGTACATTAGTGCATAAATTATTAAATAAATAAATATGCTAAACTTAATCTAGGTACACTTTGCTTTAAAAATCCATCAAAATGAAGCCAAGAACTTTTTGTTTTAATAATGAAAATTGTAAATGTATGAATTTACATTGTTGAAACTTATCTTCATAATGAACTGAATATCTAACATTTGTCACAAATATTATTTCTTTACACTCTGTGTAGAAGAACTTAATGAAATAATGTAGTTACTTCCCTAGATACCTCTATATAGACTAAGCTTTCCAGAAATAAAATTAAATAAATTTTCCAGTAATTTAAATACCAAATCAAAATGGTTATTATTACAATGTTCGCAGACGAATTAAAGTGAAATTAATTTGTCAGTAAAATAACGCTGCCCGTCCACATTCTAAGGACTTTAGTTCACTAAACCTTTTAATTTTGTACTAAATTTAGAAACGAAACTAATTTATTTGAAGTTATTATTAAAGTATTCATTAAGATATAGAGAAAGAGCATTGGAGTTTTGTTACATAATAGAATACCTACGTCAATGGAATTTTATGAAAATGTCAGTGGCGATTTATTTCTGTCAATTAATAAGCTATTTTTGTCTTTATTATCTAACTAAGAGATTTGATTATCTATACTTATTAGTATATAGTAACAAACAACCAAATATTTTCTCTTAATGATATTTCATTTAGAGGAAATATTTGGTTGGTTTTCACATAGGGTTTTCACATTTGGTTTTCAAATAGGGCCGTCCATTAATCAGATGAGGCTCGAAGGGGGGGAGGGATTCGTCAAAAATCACGAAATATTACAAGGGGGGGGGGTGTAGTAATATATCACGTGTATTTATTTTTCCTCGACGCTCGTTTATTAAACCGAAAAGTGGCGTCAAAAATTAAGTTTTTTTTTCTTTCAACCAAATCACGTATTTAAACCTCACCATGTATCACCAAGGGGGAGGGGGAATAAAAAAATGTTAAAAACATCACGTGATTAATACACGTGCAAATACGTCATGAGCGGATGACATAGGCTATAATTTAAGAAGGCGAAGTCGAGGAAAATAGCGCGTATTTAATTAAATCACGCATTGTGGTGTTGCAACACAATTAAAAAAAATATCTTCATTCACTTAGCAATCTCTTAAAATCAGAGATTCTGTCAAACCAAATCGGCTTGTTAGTCAGGCCTCGGAGATTTATCTTATTCTATCTTCTATCGAATAAACTAATTTATTTACTTAAAAAAATACCGCAGCAAAGCTCGGTCATCCAGCTTAATGTGTATACTTATATTAACTGTATGCCATTTGTTTGCAGGGACAGCAAATTCAAATCTCTTATCAATGCCAACATTGTGGCTACGACTCGTATGACTGCGATGGTAATGCCAGATATGGTGAAACGTGGAAAAGGCGTTATCATCAATATTGCTTCTGGAACTGCTGTCTTTTCCAGCTGCCTCCTTGCAATCTATGGCGCTTCTAAGGTACCTCTTTTAAAATATAACTATATAATACGTCCTTAATGACATATGCTTTAAAAAATCCACTTTGTCCCTGGCACTCTGTGATGGGACTCGAACCCATGAGCTTTCGCAATCCGGACGGCTGCTCTAACCACTGAGCTTTTTTTTGTTGTAATAGTATTTTTAATGAATTCTAATTGTCACTTTAATTCGTTAATATATTTTAATGGAGTTAGAACAAAATTGATAGTTCGGAATTCATTTAGGATAAGAAGTATTCAAGCTCAATTAATCCATGATTGTTTATTTTAAACTTGTTAATTTTCTTTAATAATAATTTGGTTTCGTTTATAAATTCTCTTTCACGTTATGTTTGAGAAAAAAGTCCAATAATTAGTAGATAACATCACATACGTAGCTCGGTCGCGTAGTGGATAAGCGCCGCGGCCCGCGATCGTAGTCGTTAAGCAACTTTCGCAAAGGTCGGCCACGGGATGGGTGACCAAAAAATTATTATCTCGAGCTACAACGTGCTTCGGAAGGTACGTTAAGCCGTTGGTCCCGGCTGCATTTGCAGTCGTTAATACCCTCCAATCCGCATTGGGCCAGCGTGGAGGGTCATGGCCTGTAGTGAGGACGTAAAAGGGCTGGTGGTAGTGGATCACGTACATAAAGCATTTGTATTGTGGTAATCTGAAACAACGATGGTACTACAATGTGAGACAGAATATAGAATAGTCCGTTTACATAAATTGCTATAATTGCTTTCTTCTTTCTTTCTATTTTCTATATTGACTTGACGCGACACTTTGAGACTTGTGTTCGAGTCACTATCATATGTTATCTATTTAATAAGTAACGTTTATCGGTTCTCTTCGCTTTAATATTATTTCAGACTTATCACTCTAGTATTCCGTGCCTCAAAAGTGAAAAACTAATGCATCTGTCTGTCTGTCCTTCCTTGTTTTCTTAAACTACAAAGTCGACTGGGTTATTTTTTACAGTTGTTACGTGATTGTAAAAAGTTGGTAAATTAGAAAATTCCAAAAAAAGTCATAACTACATTTTTTTTTCAGACTTACGTCCGACAATTGTCTGATAGCCTTCGCATAGAATATGCTGATAAGGGAATAATTGTACAATGCGTGAATCCAGGATATGTCGTAACTAATATGTCTGGACTTAAAAGGGAGACTTTAATGGCTCCAAGTGCCAAGAAATTCGTTAATTCCGCTTTAAGTTTGGTTGGGACGACAAGCGACACTCCAGGCTATTTCCCGCACAGCATTATGTTTGGTGTTATCCTTTTCTTAAACGAAAACTTTGGAAGTTTCGGAGAGTGGCTCATGATGAGATCGTTGCTCAACATACGTCGAAGAGCCTTGAAAAAGTATAAGAAACAGTAATTTACTTAATATCTAACTCACATTTGAAAGCGTGCCTTGTTTCCACCTCCTTTTTGCTTTTACCTGAAACTATTGTAAAATATGTTTTTAATATCTTTGGCTGTTTTCCTTTACCTTTCCTACCTTTAGCCTTTGCATGCCCTTATTCATATTATAATATAACACCAAAGATGTTTTTTTAATTAACATGTATGGTTAACCATTTAATTTCTAGTCCATTATCATAGAACTGCTAGAAATCTGGGCGTCAAGAGGAGTTAGAGAATTATCAATTTTCCGACTCTAAGTTATAAACTTATAATTCATCGTCATTTTAAGCTTGAAATGACTTATATGATAAAAAAATGGAAATGGCATTTTATTTACAGTGATAACATTTATTAATAATCCAGATCTAATCGTTTTGGCTGATCATACTTATTTTAAGATGTGCAAATCTTGCCTTTCGATTTCGGAATTGTTTGAGTTGCATATCCACAAGTCAATGTGATATGCAAACAATCAGTTTTGACAGCATTTGTTTGTAGATTAGTAGTTTTATATATTGTTAAAACATGTATAGTTTCTTAGTAATTTTAAATAATTCTGAAAGAGTCAGGATTGTCAAGTCGCAAATTATTTTCATAGTGTTAGAATATAACTACCATTAAAGAAAACGCATTTGTGGCAAAATTATTTCGACATTATGAATCTAAATATAAAATTGATCGATATATTTCTCATATTTATTATTCATATTATTCTAAAGAATATTTACTGTTACGTGGAATATAAAAATAATTGAGAATTTTAATTGCCAAAAATGCTAATACTGCATATTTTTGAATTAACTGCTATATGAACAATATAATTTATTAATCACATATGCATTTTGTTAAGAAATATAAGAAACAGCCATATTTCCAACTGGATGATTAATATATTGTATGAACCAAGAGATTTTTTGCGTCTTCTCAATGGAAAGCTTGACGCATTCCCAAACTAAAGTCGAATACTCTATCTGTGCTGTTGATAAACAAGGTTTAGTGTCGGAGTAAATTTATGCTAAAATTCCATTTTTAGTATTAGTCCAAATTCATACTATACAGAAAATAAGCACTTCCTTACCCGTAGAACCTTGTACTAGGTTAAACTTTGCTAAGTCTCTGTTTAATTATATGAATTTGACTAATACTAAGTACAGTCTCCGCATAAATTAACTCCAACGATAAACCTTGTTTATTTATAACACTAAGTAATTTCAATAATAAGTATAGAACTAAATCATGCGACTTTTCCGTGTTACATATTGCTTGGTTGCCATAAAAATGTATGTTATCTTTAATGAAGGCTATATATTGTATAGCTGTGTATAATAGCAAACTAGAGTTAATATTAATACAAAAACACCGTGGTGATTTTAATAGTTTAATAATTATTACTTTGGTTCCTGAATAAAATGTTGCTTTGATGCATTTAGTTTAATTTCGGTGGTGGAAGTTGTTCCTTTTACTAAATAACTCCTATCCTTATATTAAATAAATCCTCGACGTGTACAGAGATATCGTAAATTATGCAATTTATTAATAATCTACTTACTAGACGTGGGGTGCGACCGCCTATCTCTCTAGCTATAATATACGATTTAACGGCGATATCTCGTTTCATTTTACTGCTACGATATATCTTTTGGTGGAAAACAACTAAGTTGGTGACATTGCTGTCAAATCCATACTTATCAATTGTTCATTGTTATTAATATACATGTCAAAGAAAATATCAATCAGTATGACGTCATATAGTTAGAATAATGGTAGATATTTAAGTGGTCGCACCCCTGATAATTTTTAATATTGACACCTGCGTGGAAGATTTTTATAGTGTAGTTTTAGGTGAGTATATGCTTTCTATTCATATAAGAATTCTTTAAAGTAGTCTCCAATATGATAGCTTCGTGCCAGATTCCTTGGGTAATTTTTGGCAAAAAATCTATAAGTAATTTTTCAATATTTGTCTCGTGTAAATTTCATTACAAATGAGCTATTATATTTACTTTGCCGGTGTTGATATTATATTTAATCTAGGTGGTTATGGTAAGTTTTTTAATTCATTGTTTATTATTACGAAGAAATATACTGCTACCTACTTTGATAGACGTAAATATTATGCATGAGTATCTAAAAAAAAATTGATATAACATATTGTAAATACATATTCTGTGGTTCAGGTGCGATATTTTATTTTTTTTGTAATTACTTATATACTCATTCAGCGAGCTCGGTCTATGACACGGTTGTTAAGCAAATGTCGCAAGAACATCATAAGATATGTATCCAAAGATAATAATCTTCAGCTCCTCGGTGCCTCAAAAGGCACGTTAAGCGGTTGGTCTCGGCTGCATATGCAATCGTTAACACCCACCAATCCGCACTAAGCAAGGGTGATGGGTCTCAGCCCCAGTAACACGTGAAAAGGCTGGTGATGAATTACTAAAAACTGTTTTTTTTTTTCAACTGATTTTCAACATTAACTCGTTGAAAGTTAAGTTCGAAACCGATTACAGAGATTTGTATTTTGTATTGACCATGTGTTTTTGTATACCCAGTGGTCCATTGTCATTTTTATTTTATTTGCAGAAAAGAAATAGCGGACGCATAATCTGGAGACAAGTTGGATTTGTAGTTATAGTTATTAGTATTAATAAATAATTTATATGGACCGCATACAAAGTTGTAACGCTGGCTGTGTTCTTTTGCTATTGGTTGATAGCGCGCCCGAGACATTGGCTAGCTTGCTCTCTTTCAGCGATGCTACTCATAAAACTGTTGGTAGTGTACCCAAAACAAAATAAATTCCATCTCGAGAGAAGTTCCAAGGTGGCATATTACAATCAATTAACAAATAAGCGAACCTAAATTACACAATTATATGTTAATGTTCGTTTATATGTACAGACATTGAGCGTGTCAGACACGTGCTAGCACAGACACAGACATACATCAACAGACTATCTTTGTCCGGCACTAATTACCTACTGTTCGCTGTATTCGTAGGGTTTCCAACTTTGATACTAAATAAGGAGTACAAACTTATGAGAAATAGTATTATTTATTTAATATTTTCATTTAAAGTAAGAGTATTTTTTATTCTTCTTCGGTGACGGAAGTAGGTATGTAGCGTAATATGCATGACTAGAACTAGTTTAATAAACATTATGTAAAAATAGGATTTTGGCGTCCTCTATTATATTTATAAAGTACACCTTAACGATGTAGAGTAGTAGTACCATGGAGTCCACTTAATAACGCATTGGCTCTTTCTTGATACAAATACCTTTCATCTTAAAAATCACCGGGTTCTCTAGTGTTGCCAAGGTGATAAAAATATCGATAAAGATAATAAATGTATCGATAAATATATCGATAAAGATAAAAAATAAATAACAGATGATTTTATTTATAATAAAATAGAAATAATTAACATACGAAAACATAAAAAGTTAAAACGGTCGCCTTCAAGAACAATAATGCTTTATTATTTCACTTGTTATATAGTAGAAATAATAAGTGCTAATTTGCTATATTTGCCTTTAATTCATGAAAAATGCTTAAAAAATCCACTTTGTCCCTGGCACTCTGAGATAGGAATCGAGTCCCAATTGCGTGGGGTCAACATTTCGCATATGATTATTAATAATAAGTATAAATTATAATTACGAATTATGCATACATAATTTTTCTCATATCCGAACAGGGTCTGACAGATTCAAACGGAGTGTAGTTTAAAATCATTGTCGGTCTCTTTTTGCTTTTAAGAAGTAAAAGAGATCAACATACGCAGAGCTAGACACCATTTTGGTGCAACTGTGGGACACGCATCGCTTTAATGCCTACTCAAATGTTATTATTTTCTGTCTTTTATGTTTTCAGTTAATCTTTATTGTTTATTAATTGTCTGTCAGTGTCCTATGTATATGTACCAAATAAATGAATTTGATTTATATATCCATGGAGAGTACTGTATTTTAGAATAAATAATTGGCAACCCTACAGACGGCGTAAAGTCTGAACCGTCCATTGACGTGGTCAGTGTCTGTTGGCGTCTGTTGGAGTCTGTTGGAGTCTGTTGGAGTCTGTTGGTATCTGTTGGTATCTGTTGGTATAAGACCGGTATTACCTGCGCGCCCAATGGTTGTACATATAATAGAACATTTAAATAGACACTTATTTACTTATTATATTTAATATTGTAACGCTATACCTACGCAGATTGAATATTTTTATACAGGTTTTGTAGAATGTCTTATTTTTTTATAAATAAATTTGATTCAAGAATAATTTATCTTTTGAAGAAAATACATAATGTACTATTCAGTTTTCCTATTATCTGATAAAATTTATTTGCAAAAAAATCAAGAAATGTTTTTAATCTCTTATTAAAAATATTACTTTGTTTAAATGGGTTAAAAATTAAAATAGTGGGTACATAATAATTAAAAAAAATCTCCATCGTGTCAAGGGAAAAGGCAAAATGAACAGTAGAATTACTCCGTCAAAGTAAATTTAATTCAAAATAAGTATCGAAATTACTAAATGCTTTATTAAAAACTTAGAAGAAGTGATTCAATTATTTATTAATACAATTTATTTGTCTAATATAAGGTACTACATGAGATTAAAGTTAAAAACGGAAAAGTACATACATATGTATGACTTATTTTCATTTTTTAGTCTTTTATATTCATTAGTGCAAATGTTTTATTTATTAATAAAAATGATTATTTTATAATTTGTTAAAATTCACTTATTTTATTTAAAATTCACCAAAGAGAATTTGAACAGTACGATTTTATATTTTAATGACTGAGATAAATGAATAAAACCTCTTTGAAAAAAAAAATATTTCACTGACTATAAACCATAAAGCAATGGTGGATGTTATGAACATTTGTCCGGAGACTGTCATGTCAAAATTCAGTGTTTAAAACAGGTCGCAAATATGCCATAAAATAAATAAAAAAAGAAAACAAGGCAAAGTTCATATCAGATTAAAGTATACATAAAAATCACTGATACAAATGTAACAATTGATTAAGATGCACTCGTGGTCAGACACGATGTCAAAGAAATTACGCTGACCAAACTATGGGAAGGCCAGTCACAGCCGATGCACCAGTACAAATGAAGAATAATTGCGGCTTGAATTTCAATTTAAACCAGCTGCTTATGGTTATTGG